CGAATGACAAGTTCTATGGTGTGCATAAAAAGCACGGTGGAAGCTATGCGGAGGGCAAGTTTGTCTGCTTCTTGTGCAGGGGGTAGCGGTGACGTCAGAACGCCGAGCCCTGATTGGCTGATCGCGACCCCCTATCTGAGCGTCGTCTGCTCCTTTGCAACGTCGTCTGCTCGCAACGTCGTCTGCGTCTGTCTTACCCTTCCTGCGACTTTCGGAAGCGCAGAGGCCAGATTCAAGAAACGATCTTACGCCAAAAATGTGCGTAAGACAAAACTTAAGAACAAATTCGTAATCACGAAACGAAATTTTCGTAAGTTTTGAGAAGGTTACGACGAAATCCTACGGCAGCTCCGAAGCTGTCTTACGCAGTTCTTACGATCAAATCAGCATGGCCGACAGCGTCGCGGCCGCGACGACCCACGGACGTTTATTCTTCTACCTGCGCTTCTGACGCGTCCCGACTTCAAGCAGCAAGAAAAAATTAAAAAGTACTTGAAACAGACCACGACGAACAAGAACGCTGGATCCACAAACACCCGGGAAAAGCTCCAACGGCCTCGATTCCACCGAACGCGACCAAACGAGCTGGGCAGTTAGGCCTAGCAGGCGCTCCGCGACTCGGCGACCGTCTGCCCACGACCGGCTGGCGTGCTGAATGGAATATGCCCGCACGACCCTTGTGAACCCTTCTCGTATTATACTTTGATCGCTGACCTCAATTTTAGATTAAGAGGTCAATTTCTTCCTCTTGTTATCTCCTTGTTTCCCAAGGGAACGGTGACTTCGCCGGTGAAAAAGCGGTGAATCTCCGACAGACGCAGGAAAGGTAAAGCAGCCATCGCTTTGACTAGCAGACGTAAAGCAGACGACGTTAACTGCGCCAACCCGCCGACGCCGTTAAAGAGTGAGGGGTCTCGCCGTACACGAATGGAGGGAAAAAGTATTTGGGAGGGAACTTAAGGACACTAACACGCTCACTCTCGGTTCTAAGCAAACAAACCTCGGCGCCCCGGGACACCTCGCCTGTGAGTCCTTTGACTTCCCTCCTTGGTGCGCGTCTGCTAGTTTTAGACAAAAACAACGTACCGCTCGCGTAGTCGAGTTCGCTCCGAAAGTCGCAGGAAAGATAAGACAGGCGCAGACGACGTTGCGAGCAGACAACGTTGCAAAGGAGCAGACGACGCTCAGATAGGGGGTCGCGATCAGCCAATCAGGGCTCGGCGTTCTGACGTCACCGCTACTTCCTTTCTCATGCGCAGAAGACGAAAATCAGCCCACTTGCGAGGCGTATAGTCTGTTTCACCTTATGATGTACCGCAGGAAAGGCTACAAGCGCGAGCTCCTTGCTCTAGGGTACATCTCGGCGGCACAAGCTCTCGTGCGTTAAAGCTCCCAACGCTATGAGCTCGCGCTTCGAGCCTTCTCTGCGGTACAACATAAAGTGAACGGAGGATAGTCATCGCACCGGTGCCGAAGAATGACACGACGACGTGATTTCACAATTCGCATTTGAGTTGAGGATTAAAGCTAAGGAAGAGGAAGTAGGAAAATCGTTTCATGACCCCTTTAAGCCTGACCCAAGTTGGTTGCTAGCGGGCTCCCAAGCAAACAACATGTCAGATGCGAGGTATCGAAAGCCTGGGAAACACACTGATGGTAAGAGCTTTTCTTGATTACTTTATCCCAGCGTAAAATATCCAAAACACGGCAATCTGGCCTAACCAGTTTTGTAATAATGAACAATCTTGAAACACAAATTCTTGTACAGTCCACACCTGTAGATAGACCATACGGTGTAAAATATCAACTTTTAGACATGTATAGTTTGTGCACCACAGTCTGGAAAATATGGTACATTTCTTTTAGTTTAGAGTTAGAAAGTTAAAAGTTAAAGGGGTGCTGGTACTGAAATTTGACTTCACAAAACAAGGCACCAGAAGCACACTGTGGGATGCTACAGACCCCAGAACATCACTCATGCAGCTGCAGTGTCTCAACTGGATGGCCATATTTTCGGAAAAGAAGGGCGCGATAGAGGCAAGGCGTGTGACTTCCGGGTTCTCCCAGAAGTTTCTCGCTTCCTCTCCTACTGACTTTGCCCCCTCGCCTGCGAATGACCACAACTGCCCGAATGGTGCGGCGAAGAGGCGAAGAGAAGAATACAGATTTAGTTCATATAAATAACTAGTTTGTATTTACTCGTTATTTCTCTCCTTATTTCTGGTGACCTACGGAACGTTCAGTTCAGGTCTTCAGCCGCTTAAAGAATGTTGTAATTGCTGCGAGCTCTTGCCTTTTGTGCAATGTTTTGGTAAAACTAAATGAACGAAGATAAATACTTTTCTAAGAGATTGATGTTCGAGAAAGAAGAGAAAGAAGAAGCGCTCGGGACATGGAACGATAGGAGACCAATAAAGGAGCTCGAGCGGAACGGCTCTTCCGGTTTTATCTTCAACAGTTGACGCCATTCAGGGAGGCTGAAAAGCTGATAGCATGTACTGCGTCAAGGACTGATATTGAGGATTAATATGATGTGACGTTTCCCCGTGATTTAAACGATGGTGATTCAGAACGACCGCTTGAAAGGCTTAAGTCACTGATGTGGTCAAAATAGAAGTGTGTAAGAAAATGCGATTCCAATAACCTCCCACAAAAAAAAAAAAGAAAAAAATAAATTGCAGCAACCCTTTTCTAGGTAACTTGGATGACCGAGCAGCCCGTGTGACGTCACAATTAACCTGAAAAATACGTCATTTCCTACGCTTATTTTTAAAAGCGTCACTTTCTATACGTACGTAAGCATGGCTACCGACAATGCTCCAAGGCTCAGAGAGGGCGCTGCTCCCCCATGAGTGGCCATGTTTGCAATAGTGAGCTATAATCAGCTTATATACAGGGGTGTTCTTTTTAACCTTACCATAATTAAAAAAAAATAAAAGCCGGTGAGAGACACGTGTCAGTTGCTGATAATGGTGAGTTCAGAGAGACGTTTCAATCAACTCGCCACTATCTTTATTTATACCAATGCAAACATTATGTTAAGATGTCGGTGTTTGCAACCAAAAGGCAATGTCTACATTGCCTTCTCACTTCCGTTTAAACCTTTGTTAGCATCAATTGTACCCAGCAGGAGTCCCTCAAAACACAAAACTATAGCGTTTAGTTGCGTGGAGAAGCACCAGACATGGCGACAAGAAGGTGAGTGATGAAGGACAGCACGAACTGCTTTGAATGGTTATTTTAGGTGCTGAATGCCACTGAAATAGTACAATAACATTGAGCACATAAATTAATGTGTTTGTTTTTTCAAGTTCTAGAAGTTGTAATAAAACTGCAATTTATAATTCAGATAAAAAACAAATCACTTGACGTTTGATTATGAACGTCCATTACATTTTATGTGTAGAACTTCATAATAAAAACGGCATGTGAACGGAACTTAAAAACAATCCCGCCGCACTCGTTAAAGGGATGGTGAACCGATTTAGGATTTTCAAAAAACAATGCAGGAGATGTAGGTAGGACGCTACAATCCTTACAACACTTCTCCTAAGAAGGTGATATCTCGAATGGACGGGCCCGTATTTTTGGAAAACGAGGTCGAGATTGAACGAGGCCGACGAGGCGCGTGACATGAAGATACCTTGTTTCCTCCTCTCTTCGCTTCGCCCCCTCAAGGCGACGCGGCGCGAGGCCGTTCCCTCTCCTTCTCGGAGAAACAAGACGTAAACATATCAGTCAAATGCGCCTCCTTTCTTTTTAAAAAAATACAGTCATCCGTTCGAGATATCGCTGTTTGAGTGATGTTTTGGTGTTCGTAGCATCCCGTTGCACGCTTTTGCCGCGTGTTTTGTAGAATCCAGATTTCGATTCAGCATCGCTTTAAGGTTCGTCTAGAGATTTCATCCACTGCTCCTGCCCAATTTAGTTCCAATTGACTCACATCCATAGAGAAGTGATTGGTAAACAAATGAGTTGGCATAAATAAATAAACATATAAAAAAGTGCATATGAATGTTCTTGGAATACCGAAGTGTCCTTGCTAAATTTTGAACTGGAAAAAGGTAGGAGCGCTTTCACCTTAGCACATGGGTGCGCAGCGGCGAAGCAAGACAGGGAAGATCGCGATGACTACGCCGCGGTTTTTGCTTTTCTGCAGTACACCAGTGCGTGGTGAGAAGCGCACTCAACGAGGACTAACTAACCTTCCGGCAAAACAGACGACGAATATGTGAATTATTCCGAAACTTTAGAATACTGTTAGTCTTTCATACGAAATGGGATCGAATAGTACGTTAGTTGAGACAATAATCAAAAGTTCTGAAAACTCGCATAAACATGTCATAACGCTCCGGCCGAGCAGCGCGGTCTGAGCTATTATATTTTCAGTATTATTAAAGTGAAATTAAGTTTTAGCGCAACGTTGGCGCAAATTTTGTTAAAATGAAGCAGGATGTAGCAAAGTAAGCATTTCGACGCAGGGGGCGCAAATGGCACAGCAATCACGTCACTGTGAGTAATAACGTAAAAAGTTTTAAACTTTTCATTTTTGGAGATGTGACGTGTCTGGAGAAGCGACGTTAGAGCTCCTTGCGGATTATACGTGTCGTAGAATTCTAATGAAAAAAAGAAAAACGGG